CACACACACACACACACACACACACACACACACACACACACACACACGGTGCATGGGTGTGTACCATGAGAACCCACGTTCATTCCAGAATGCACAGTTTAAAGAAGCCTGACAGTGGTGGCTCAGGCTTGTAGTCCCAGTGCTGGGGATGTGGAGACAGGTGAATCCCTAGGCTCTCTGCAGGTCAGCCTAGACTACTTGATGAGATCCAGGCCAGTAAGAGAGCCTGCCTCAGTGGTGGCCAGTATCAGAAACACAACACCTAAAGTTGGCCTCTGGCCAAGTACACATGAACATGCCCATATGTGCACATGAAAGAGAGCCAAAAGGAGCAGAAGGTGAGGGCTTAGATTTTTCTCCACACCTCCTTCACTTAGGGTTCTTAAACACCTTCACCTCCAACCCCCAACGTTAGGTAGGAGATTAGTAGGAAATTGGACCTCCTTTATATCTACCCCCTGCTGATTAGAGTAGATGGGTCTTTAGGGGATTACCGAACCCAGTTGTCAGGGTATCAGCAGTCCAGTTCTAAGGCCAACAACAAGCCGCAACACACGTCAGCACGATTCAGAAGATCAGGACGAGTCAGCAAAAGCCGCAAGACTCATTTGTGTTGCTCTGAGAAGCTCTCTGGGATGTTTCCCTCTGCGAAGTCAAGTGTCGAAACACGAAGATCAATGCAGTGAGAGCCCATCCACGCTTGTTCTCAGCCGGCCAAAGTCATGCCCTTTGCCCGAGAGAGCTCACAGCAAAACACCACATGTCCTCTCACAAGACAGCTTGCTACAAAACATCACGTGAGAAAACTGAGTCTTCACCGAAACCAGAAACTTCCACTTCAAGAAGGTACACAGGAGACAGCCGAGCTGATAACGTGCTTGCCCTGAAAGCATGAAAATCTGGGTTCCAACCTCAGAGCCCACGTACACCCAGGCGTTGTGGCATACACTTGAAGTCCCAGCCAGGCAGATCCCAGAAGCTCCCTGTCTGTGTAGTAAAGCACCTGGCAAACTGGCTCTGTTTCAATAAGCAAAGTAGATGGTGTCCTGAAGAAGAACATTTGGGGGTCATCTCTAGCCTCCACACACACGTGCACACATGTACTTGAGCACACACACAATAGAAAGAAAACAATTATTGAGCTAAACACCTGGGCACAAAGAAAATACAATAAATATAACAGAATAGTCAGGAATGTGGTCTCCACAAAATGAAATGAAAAGAACAAAGGTGATAGTCAAATGCAAGGAGATCTAATGAACGGTTGTGTGCAAGCTGGAACACGCTGGCACATGGGCTTGGGATGGGTAGGTATGCTTCTGCTCAGAAAGCACGTGGGGCTGAGTTCTAATGCCCAGGACTACTTAACACAAAGCCAAGTGAGGGAGCACGGGGCTGTGTCCCCAGCGGGTAGGGTAGGAGGACTCCAGGGGCTCACTTGCCAGCCAGTATAGCCAAAGTAC